TCAGTGAGCAGAAGAACTCCCCAAGTGATCAGCATCTCTTCCCGTTTCCTCAACCACTACGTGGTCCTCAGCCCACCTCACGCTTGCTTCCCCTCCACTGACCTCTCTGTTCAGCTCTCCATGGCGCCTTGTCGCCAGAACCCACACCCACCTTCCAGGCTCGGTCTCGGCGGACTGTCCGCCATGTTGGGACTGATGGCCATGCGCTCCTGGCTGGACCCTCCACTTCCTAGATTTCTGCGCCATCTCCTTTCCGATAGTAATCGCATAGGTCTCTCCTTCTGGGTCTCTTCTGGGGCTCCTCCTCTGGCATGTCCTTGTAACAGGAGTGTTTCCTAAGACTCCACCTTCATCCCTTAGCTGTCCTTTCTGATTCTGCCTCTGTCTTTATACTCACCTGTCTGAAAGTCTATCCTTCTGTCTATCCTTCCATTCATTCATCCACCCATCCATCATCTGCTTTAAATTCCTGAATGATATGATCCCAAACTCTGTCCAAGCTTCTGTCCCATAAATCTCTTAACTCACATGCATTTGCCCCTCTGCCTGGCATGTCCTCCACTTCTCCTCACATGACCTTCACGTATCGTTCAAGACTCAAACATCGTTTCCACGGAGATATTCTCACTCACTGAACCGCACTGAAGTGTCACTGAAATATTCACCTCATCTCCAGAGGAGGTAAGTCCTTCAACTTCTATATCCCCAAGGCCTAGTATTACAGGGTCTAATAAACAACAGGTGCTTAATAAATTGCTCTTGACTTACTGAACTAAAGTGACTCCCTTGCTGTTGCTTGAAATACCAAAATCAAAACAAGGAGGCACCTCGTTTCATGTTGAAGTGGACAAGACAGCGTGGAATGTCTCGTGCTCCAGAAGCGCAGCAGGCACGGCCCTCAGGGAGAGGGCGGCAATGCGGTTTCTTGAAATATTTACAAAAACAGAACTCACATACCTAGTAGAAGTCACACAGTGGATTCTGTTTCCTTGGCTGCTATAACAAATCACAGAAACGTAGGGTTTAAAACAACACCCATTTATTGGCTCACAGCTCTGGAGGCTGGAAGTCCGAAGTCAGTTTTAATCAACTGAAGTCAAGGATCTGGCAGGGCAGCGCGCCGATGGGAGGCTCTGAGGAAAATCTATCTCCTCGCCTTTCCAGCTCCTCGAGCTGCATTTTTTAATTCCTTGGCTCATGGTGCCCCTTCCTCTGTCTTCAAAGCCTTAGATCTTGCTTCAGTGGTCACACTGCATTCCTCTATGTCAAACCTCCTCTGTCTCCCTCTCACAGGGACATTGATGGCTGGTTGCACTGAGGTCCCACCCAGGTAATCCAGCATAATCTCCCCATTTCAAATCCTGAACTTAATCCCATCTGCAAAATCGCTTTTGCCACATAAGGTAACATACACCAGTCCCAGAGATAGGACCTGGATATCTCTGGGGCCAGTATTCAGCTGACCACACACACTTAATTCATTTCAATTCATTCATTCAAATATTGAGCATGGAAACACATCTCAACTAAGTGCCAGACACTGATAAATACTGGGGACATAATACCAAACAAGGCACAGTGCCTGCTTCAAAAAGTTTTAGTGCTGTGGGGGTGCTAATATAGGAAAGAGACAAGAATTACACACGCTGAGTCCTGTGACAGGAATGGCATGAAGTGTCATGCAAGCACAATTACCCAGTACAGAATCCGGAATCCGGAAGAACGCCATGTATGTTTGCAGTCAAAGCAAATGCCACATAGCCCATCTACAATGTTTTAACGTGGAAATATATACGCATAGCTTTAAAGCGCCAAAGTCTTCTTCTTGGCTTAGAAAAACAGCTCATCACTCCTCACTCTTAATTCTGTTTCCACAAAACAACTCTCTGAATTCTTTTACATACCAAATACATAAAATACCAGCCCAGGACCGAGACAGGTCCCCCAGTTACTTCAGGTGTTAACTGTCCTTGGTGGTGTTTGTAGCTTTCTGTGGGGGTCGCACACATCTTTCTTTAGATTGAGTTGCAGGTACTTGATGTTTTATGACAGTGTAAGCGGTATCTCTTTAGAACTGACCCTTTATCATTAGGACATCTGGAATGCTCCATTTGCTTTAAAGTCAATCTCCCATTAGGCTGATCAGGCAGGGGCTCAGCTGTCTTACTGGGGCACCTGCAGCTATCAGGATGAGCAGGACTTTCTCCCTGAACTGGTCAGTGTTCTCACAGGAGGTTTTTCTAGTCCCTGTCTGCAGGTGTTTGGCCCAAATCGGGGACAGGGCTGGGCATCTCACTGTGTTGACATTCACTTAATCCCTGTCATTAGTTCAGTACCCTGGTCCTACCCTTAGCTGTCCTGTTGTTCAACTCCTGCAGAGTAAATCTGCAGTTTTCCACCTGGGTGGGAGACAAGTACACTGGCTGTAAGGGACAGGAGAGAGGGTCTGGCCTCCGAAAAAAGCTGGGCCAGTCCCATTTTCACCCCCAGCCGCTCTTCAGAGGTAGCGGGGTCCGTGGCATGGACTGACTGACTTTTGGTGGCCTGTCCCCACTCCACTGCACCGCCAGTCCTGGGTGGGTGGTGTTCTCCAATCTGTAACACCGCTTGGGCTCTCCCATCTGCTCCAGGTGCCCGGCCTTTGCTTGCCTCTCACTAGTTCTTTTTGTCTTTGTGGCTTTTATGCCCTTTTTATCATTTTTTTGAGGTGTTCTGGAAGAGGCAGAGATAACATGTATCTTCAATTCGTGACATTTAAGAAGTAGCCCCTTTATCTTATTTACTCTTAAATACCTATAATTCTAATAGGCCTGGTATTGGTTTCTGAAGCCAGGCTTTGCTACTTCTCCTCTGCTTAACCTCGGGTTATTACATATCCTTTCTGAACCCCAGCATCTCACCCCACCCCCAAGTAACATACATAATATATTCATCATCATTAACCCCGGGGAAGCATTATAGTTGAAGGGAGGCATGTTACTGACAAAAAACTAAATCAGAAACAAAAAAAGCAGTGATGGTTAAAATAAACAGCATTATGGGGCATTTGGGTTTGGAATCCAACGGTCCCACACAGCTCAGGGCTCAGCCTGAAGGAAGCCCCCGTTTCATCTCAAAGTGCTGATCTATCATCACCTAGAGGTTCTAGCACATTCATGATCGTCTGTTGAAGAAAGCAATGGT